TAGCATTTCTCCCTTACTGTTGATTGAGATTCAATAAAGAACGGGTCACAACGAAGTAAAATTTTAAGAATCTCACGGTCCTAATATGATTAATCTGTTTTTGAAATGGACTGGGGAGATCAGAACCTGGAAGAGAAGGGAGAAAAGAGCGACCCTCTTATACTGGTAACACAGTTTCAAAAACCCAAATCACTTGTCTTGAACCATGTAATGTTGCAGGACATGGTTCCTAAGTTAATGGTTTGAAAAAACCGGCGCCCGTTTGGGTTGTTATGCCCATCTTTCACCCCATCTTACTATTTATTCCTGCAGTCTAACGCTTCAAAATCTTTCACAAGCTTCCAAACACATTCAAAGAATGGCTCAAAGCATCAAAAAGTAAATTGACATCACTTCACTTGGAAACTTGAAGAAAATGGGGAACACAGGGCATAGCTAAGTCACAGCATATTATTTTTATACTTAACAAAGGTCATTGGCTTTACCCAGCATAGGAGCAAGCCCTGCAGATAGTGCCATGGAACATCAATAGCATCTTACTAGAAAGCAACTAGTAAGTAGTTTGCTTACTTATGATTAGACAATCATCAATCAGGGCAGACAACAAATACTACGGTACTATCATTACAATGAAAGTCTTGCCTGCCCAAATCAACATTTACACCATCTTAGCCTGGAGGCCAGTTCATTTGGCGGCCACCAAGGAGGTGGACGTGAATGTGATAAACAGATTGACCTGCAATGGAACATTCCTACATCAATAAAAGTTCTAAAACATACACATGACACACATTCAAGCATGTAAAATGGAGAAAGAAGAAACCGTAAGTACATCCTTGTGGACCATCATTAATCACAACCCTGAAGCCATCTTCCAGTCCTTCCTGTTTGGCTACCAGCTTAGCAGTGTAAAGAAGGCAGCCAAGAATCTCAAAGTGCCTTTCCTCAGCCTACAGATATAAGAATAGAAGTTCTCAATGACAATTGTACAAATTCTTTCCATCATCTTTTGGCATGGAAAAAGAGCAGTGTCCTATATCCAACAATAAAAATATTTTAATAAAGCACCATTTGAGGTTAAGAATAGGAACATTCAGGACTTGATGAAGTGGCTAAATAAATGTCAGCTTTGAGTGCCACTTCCCACCTATGAGGCTTCAAAAATATTGAAAAATACAGCCAATGCATTGTTCTAAGCCACATTTAGCTCAAAGAAGTAACAATGAAGCCAACAGTTATGGAAATGGAACACGAAACAACCCATTGACAATGTGTAGTTCAAGTGCTTTTATCAAGGTCTTACACTTCTGATTTTGGCAAACACTTTAGTGAAGGATGAAATGCAGAGAAAGCACCTATTGTATTTGCATCAAAGCATCACAAACAAGAACCATTTTACAGGCATGTTTACCACTCTTTTAGGGCAAATGTTAGAACAGATCAGGCAGATTAGCAGACAAAATCAAGCAGGTATCTTCTGAAACAGGCTTATGTTTGAAGGGGTTAGATTTTTAAAATGGTAAAATCCCTACCAAGACATAAAACAGGGTGTTCACAAATCATGCAAAAGCTAACTGATGCAAGATATCTTCAAGTGGATGCCATACCCAATCACAAAGAAAAAAGGGACATTCACACTCTATTGAGTTACATTTCATAGATGGCATGTAATATATTGAAAAGAGTTGTAATGCAAGGCCTATGACTTCCCCCAAATTAGAGTAAAAAATTATTGTCTTACCCTATATGATTGAGAAAGGGGGATTACCTTTGACAGTCCAGTCAAGCCATCCCTTACTTTGGGAATAATTAGAATATGTGTGGGAGCTTGAGGAGCTATGTCCCTAAAGGCTAACACCTGGAAAAGCAAATAGAAGAAAACATAAACAAATTATAAAACCGCAAGAAATGGATCAACTAACATATGCGACCATATATATTAACTGGAAACCATAGTATACTCAAAACCATTTTCAAAATGAAAAATACAGAAGCAAAACTAGTAATTCATCTACACAGATAATCAGAACAATGCATCTATTATATGAATCAAGAAAACAACACCAGTTGTTCAATCCAACCCGAAAATACTTTTTGCAAAAAATTGGATATTCTATTAAAAAACTTGAACTAAACACAATTCATGTAGTTGTTCGCACCCAATAACTAAAAGTAAAACCAAACCACCTTAGTTCACTTCTAAACAAGAATTGAACAAAAGCATCCAAATTTTGTAGTCAAGGTTCTGTCTTTAGCTACCCTACTAGACGACTCACTAAATCCACCCAAACCTTAATCAGTCCAAACCATCACAAATAGAAATTTCACCAAGTCCCAACAGATAAAAAGGATTACCAGTACCTTATCATCCTCATAAACCACATTTGCTGGAATCTCTTTCTTGATGATTTTGTCAAAGCTGCAAGTAATGCATTTGGAAAATACATAAAAATGGATGGAAAATTGTTTTTACAAAATCCTAAAGGAGAATTCAACTCTAGTAACACCTAAATTACTAACACAATCAATGAATATGTTTGGACATAAGAAAAAGGAAAAGGGTTCCTATATCATGAATCAAACTGGCATTGTTTGTAGAATTTCCAAGAAAAGTTGTTTCCGTTCTTTTCCATTTTCCATCTAGTCAAACAGAGCGCATGTGTTTCGTCTGTGTGCGTTTCAAAAATAGAATCAAAAGAAAAGGCGGAAATTTGAGAATCGGAGAGAAGAAACATACATGGTCGGAGCATCAGAGGGGGCAGCCGCAAGAGCGGCTTCTTTCTCAGAAGCCATGGCGGAAGATGAAGAATCCGGAGACAATTGGGATCGCAGCACGGTGAGTCTGCTGCTAACTGGACGTTTTATACTTTCCCTATTACTCATTCGAAGCCCTAACGCTAATCAGATTCCTTTATCTAAAATGTGCACTTACATTTTGGACGCGTGGGGGTTATATTATACTAATTATTAAATAATTTTTTTTAAATTAAATTTTTTTATTTAATAATTTTTATTTTATGGTATGACTTACTGTAAATTATAAAGTAAAGTTGCCTTCTTTTTATTTTTTCTTTTACTTTATCTTTTCTTTCTTTCTTTTTTTTTTACTTTATCTGTTTTTTATAAAATAAGTATTTTGCAATTTTAAAAATAAAATATTAATTAATTATTAAATTAAAAGAGCCATGATATTGGAGAAAATTAAAGATTGGTATTTTACAATATATGAACTCTCTTTTTATAATGTTATCTTTCTAGGCTATAAAGAATTGGGCATGAGCTGGTTTAGTTCTTAAGGCAAAACCCCATTAGATTATCCTTCAACTTTTTAAGTGTGTAGAATTTTACCTTTCATCTTATAATATGTGATTTTATACCCTCTTGATATGATTTTATACCCTTCTAGTATTAGAATGTGTGGAACTTTACCTCACACCTTACAACTTTAGGAGGGTATGACATCATAAACTTGAATATCATGAAGGTATAAAATTACATATTGCAAGGGGAGGGGTAAAGCTCCACATACTCAAAAAGTAAAAGTTAAAGGGCAATCTATGGGTTTTTGCCTAGTTCTTAAAGATGATTTTGCATCATTTCAATTCACATGTCTTCTTAATAAAGAAAAATGAAAAGGTTATAAGTATAATATTATATAAAATTATAAATTATAATCAT